CAGCCCCTTCCCAGCTCCATTCCCTTCCCTGCACACGCTTCAGCACAGCCCCTGTGCACACAGGGATTCCCTGGAGGTGTGGGAGATCCCAGAGGAACCTTGCAGCACCGTGTCCCCAGCACTGAACCCTGGTACTAGACAGTGCAGCACCACGACTTGTTGGCTCATGCCATCTCCAGCCTGGCACCTTGGCACGAACACTCTTATTTCCAGAGGCAAAATCAATAATGGTAACTTTGATTTTGAAAGGTGGGCGGGTTTTGGAAAGGCAAACGAGACCCTCCCGCCCTGCGAGGGGGTCGAAGCCCCTGTGAATTCCTGATTGCAATGAGAGCACACAAAGGCCAGGCTGGGCAGGGCCCGGGGGTGAGGCACGTACGTGTCCTCCTCGCAGGCGCTGTTGACGTACTCCCGCACGCAGAGCAGCGCCGCGTCCCGGCACATCTCCTTCAGGTCGCTGCCCGAGAACCCGTCCGTCTCCTTGGCGATCTGCAGGAGGTCCACGTGCCTGTCCACCTGCCACAGACCACAGGGGCACAGCATGGAAACTCCACAAGTGTTGACTTCCCTCACCGAGGACAATCGAGTCACCTCCAGGTACTTTTCCCTGCCCCCAGATCACCTCCTTCACCCCATGTTTTGTGAGGTGAATTATCAACTCGCAGCTTACCCTCAGAACCCTCCAAGGAGTTCATTTCAGTGAAGGAACTGAGGCTTCAGCTCATCAAACTCTGCACTTGATGAAGAAAACCCACCAAAAGCCAACCAAAAGCCAACCATCCCACTGGTCTATCCCACCACTAATCAAGCTCCTGCCTGGAGCTGGGTGGCAAAAACTGGAGCACAGGAACAATGCCCCGTTTTCCCGGGTGCCCACAGAAGTTTCTCAACAACTCTGCTGTCTGGACACCTGCTCCTACTTTATACGACCCCAAAATGGGGATTTAGAGGCAAAATAACGTGTCTGCCTCCATGCACTGGACCACACTGAACTATTCCCAGTCAAGACCCCACAGTTATTCCATCTTTTTACAGCCCCTTCCAGCACATTTTTCCAGTCCATCAGTATTTGCTTCACCTTTGCAGCAGCAGATTCAAGACAAATAGTGCTGCTGACTAAATCTGGGAGGAACCACTGATAACATGGATCCCATATCCTGCCCACAGACACTTCCAGGTGTGCTCACACCGACCCCTCAGAGGGCAGATGGGACACAAACACCACACAGTAATGGTAACAACATCTGGAGTAGTTTTCCTCTAAAGGAAATATGAATTATGGAGCAAAAGCAGCACCGTAAAAAAGTCATTGCTCCTTTCTTGACTTGAGCCAAGAAAAAGTTAGAGTCAGTATCTCCCTGCTTCAAGAGGTCTTGAAATGTCCTTCACTCATCCAAATGGGATTCAGCATCCTTAGGGAGACAAATATATCATCTAGTTACAGAATTAGTAAATGGAGACAGAGAAATGAAGTAACTCTGCTCAGAGATGGTGATTCACCCCCAAATCCAAGGCTGCTGCTCTGCTGAGGCTCCTGCTTACAGGGGAGGCAACTCTAGTGCTTTATTGTGAGGCCACACCTAAATCCACAAAAGATTCCCAAGTTATCAGCACAAATACCTTGGTAGATAAACTCCCCCTCCCTCCAAGGCAGGCAATTATAAAACATGTTTTCTGCAAGGCCCCTGATGTCACCAGCAAAGGACACATTAACAGGGCTCTACTTACATTTTCATTTTTCAGGATGAGCTTCAGGATGGCTTCTCTTTGCTTCAGAGCCTGCAACAGAAGAGATCAAAGTTACCAGGGGACAAAGCCAAACCCATGGAGCTCCATGGTGGGGCTTTTGGTCCCAGCTCAGCCACACGAGCTGTGGAAAGCTGTCTGAGAGCAAATGGAGTTCTGCAGGTGTTCCAAGCAACAGAAATCCCACCCTGTAATGAGGTCACTGACAGAACAGCTGAGCCCTGAGCAGATCCCTGCCAGCAAGGTAAGACACAGGCAGCAAAGACTTGGGGTTTGTGTCTCCCAAACTTCACCTACCTCCTTAAAAAGGGAAAACAATCCCCTATAGATACTCTGGCAGCTGAACAGTTGCTACTCTGTCCCAAGAAGTACTTCTTCCACTTCCCTCTGCCTTGCAGATAATTTTTAATGAGTGATTTGGGGCACTTTCATCTCAAACTCAGCTCTAAAATCTGCAAGGCTTTCCCACCTCCCTGTGGCCATTCCCAATCCACAGCACATCAGTTATCCCAGTGGGGATCAATCCTGCCTGATCCCGAGCACAGGAGACAAGCAGTGAGTTCACGACAGGGCTGTAGTGGGGCAAGGAAAATCTGTTCCCTAAATGACACCTCCCTTGGTAACTCTCATCCTGGGAGAGGGAGCCAATCCCTGGAATATCCCAAGGCTCTGTTACCTGCACATAATTCCTCCTTCTAATGAGGGTCTTGCTAGAAAGACAAGAGGAAGCACTAAAATCCACATCCTTGCCCCTTGCTAATTCAAGGAACACCTGGAGATGAGGAAGGGCTACGGGACAGGTATGGAAGCTCAGCAGTCACTGGGTTATAAATGCCTTGTTTCCAAGAGGATCCTCCCACACAGAGTGAAAGCCAGTTCAGACAACGTGGGCCTGGGAACACAGGTACTCTCTTGCACAATCAGTAAGAGCTTTACTGATTGAGTTTTGTCTCTTTAAGTTTCAGCAAGAAATGAATAATTATTTCTGTAGCCAGAAAGGAATTCTGACAGGGACTGAACTCCCAATAACACCAACACACAAATGGCTGGTGACAAAGCCAAGTGTTCAAAGGAGACTAAAATACCTGGAAAAGGGTGGCAATAGCAACACTGGGAGTAAGGGCAACCTTGTGACAGCTGGCTAATTGGTAAAGAGCTTAATTACCGCCTCTTTGTCATAAATCATCGAATCATGGAGTGGACTGGGTTGGAACCATCTCGTTCCAACCCCACCATAAGCAGAATAAACCTGTTTTTCCAGAGTGCCCAGCTGTGGAAAGGCCTGAGCAGAACACAGGCCTTCATAGGCAGAGTTCATTCCCTCTTCCCTCCCTGCAAACTGTGTATCCAGAAGGCATAAATGGCACTCAGCATGGACCTGCTTCTCCCCCCAGCTGACCTGGGTGCCATCCTCACCCCCAGGCAAGTGTGTGCAGCCACTTTTGTGCTTTCTGTGGCTGTTTCCAAGTTAAAAACAAGCTGTTTCCCAGTGTGCAGCATCTAAACCACTCCATTCCCCGGGAGGAAGAGGAGGGGTGGGAAGTGTTGTTTCACATAAAAGACCCAGGGCATCCAAACCTCCTGAGAAACGTCACCTTACAAAGTTGAGTTACAGACGCGCTTCTGAAAAACAACACCCAGACCAAAGGAATGCAGGGGAAAAAAAGGATCTAAAGAAAAAAAAAACCCCAGAGATGTGCACTTGCTGGGTGCTGAGCCCCTTGCTGTGGCTGTGGCAGGACTCACGGGCTGGTTGATGTGGAAGCGGGTGGGCATCCTCCTCATGATGGCCGAGTCCAGGTCCTGGGGGCGGTTGGTGGCTCCCATCACGATCACCTGGGAATGCCAGCACACAACACCTGTCAGCCCGGAGGCAGCTTTGGAAAGCATGGATGGATGGGGAGTTTCGAAACCAAACAAGTGACTCTTCCCCACTTTATCAAGAACATCGACATCTAAAGCAGTTACATAAGGTTTCCTGGCAGTGATTTCAGCACCAGGCAGCTGAGGAGACAACTGCTGCCACAAATACCACCTGGGGGGGGAGTCTGACATCAGCCTGAACTTTATGAGCCCAGTTTGAAAGTTCAAGCTCTAAGAGGGAACTTTAAAACTTCTGCTTCTAACTCTTGGTGATGTCACTCTTAGTTCCTGGTGCTCTGGGAAGAGGAGGAATTTGAAAGGAGACGTTTTGGTAAGGTATATTCAAAAAATGTGGTGTTTTTGTGTTGAAAAAAGAATCCCAGGATGGTTTGGGTTGGAAGGGACCTTAAAGATCATCTTGTCCCAGGGCCAGGAGCACCTTCCACTAGACAAGAAAGGCAATCAGCACCTGGCAGCTTCCACATGCACTAGAAGGGTGTCTCTGTTTTTTTAAGCATTAAAAAAAGCATTAAATGAATCTCTATATGCACAGGTCCACTTGCCAGCAGTGGGTTACACTGTCCAAGCCAAGTCCAACACAAGGGCACTGTTTACCTCCTTGGAGCACTCCAGTTATTAATTCCAGAACAAATTTACTTCCCATTCACACCGGCCTTGTTTTCCCATTTGTTACTCCGAGTTATGTACATGGTAAACACCCAGTGGGAAAGGGAAAAAATGTCAGGGCAATTAATCTCCACTCCAGAGGTTTTCCTGCCGTGCTCCTGGCCTTTTGTCCAGGCTCGGTGCTGCAGGGCAGCTCCAGCAGGGCTGGTGGCAGAGTCACCCTGCCACCTAGAGGCACCGGGGTCGCCGCCTCGCTGCTCCCATCCACGCTTCCCTGGGCATTATTTCCTTTGGCTTTCTAGCCCAAAGGCATATATTTCATCAGGGCTCTGCCCCCGAGTTCCTGCCAGACTCCTGACTCCATCCTCAGCAGGTTTAGCCCAAAACTGAGCGTGGTTTCCAGGTGCAACCACCACGGGAACAAATAACATCCATCACAACGCTGACTGACAATTTCCTCTGAGCCTTTAGGATTTTTGGTACTGCAGCAAAAGCCAAATTCTGCTGAACTGGAGAGCCCCTAAATTGTCTTACTGCAGGGAAGGAACAATTTGACTTGCTCCAAGAACTTGTCAGTGTACTGGGAAAAAAAACAATACACTGTGATTGAAAGATGGTATTAGTTTGTAGTGAAGTGTTCATGCCATTTTATTAATGGTAAGCAAACATCCTGCTTTAAGCTCCTCAGTATATATATATATATATATATATACATATATGTGTGTATATTTACACTGTCTTCTACTCATTTTAGGGGAAATCAACTTAAAAGCATCTTTAGCACAAGCTTGAGAGAGGAGGAAAAGCAGACTTTACAAACCAACGGATGTCAGTGCATCGGCCGTTTACACAAATACAGATAAAAAAGGCTGAAAATTTTAAACTGGGAGAATAAACATCCTTTTTAAAGGTTTTCAAAGCATTGTTCCAGGTGACAGTTCAGAACAAGACCATGCAGGCTTTTTGCTGCATTCAAGTACTTTAGAATCCCAGAATCCCAGACTGGTTTTGGTTGGAAGGGACCTTAAAGCTCCTGTCATTCCACCTCCCCTGCCATGGGCAGGGACACCTTCCACTAGCCCAGGTTTATTACAGAAATATTTACTTCATGAATGTTTTTTGTTGGTTTGTTTTTACAGCACCAGCAACTTTTGTATCAGTTTTCCTCCCCAAAACACAACACTTCAGTTGAGATCGTGGAGGGGGACGGAAGCACTTGGGAATAAGGGGATGGAACCACGGCTCCACTTAACACAGTCTGGCTTTTGGTAACACTCACTTCTCTACCCTTGCAGATTAACTCCAGAGTCTAGTGCTTGTCTAATCCCTGGAAGTGTTCCAGGCCAGGTTGGACAGGGCTTGGAGCAACCTGGGACAGTGGAAGGTGTTAGGAAAGGGATGATCTTTAAAACCCTTTCAACCCAAACCATCCCATGATTCCATGACAAACCAAGCAACCTGCACCTGGGATGAACACTGGGATGAATGCTCAGAGCTTTCAATAGCTTTTCCTGAAATCAAAGATTCCCTTCACCTGAAGAAAATATTCTCCAGACAATGCTTTTCGAAACAGTTTAAAAATTCCCAGTGTTGGCAGCTCAGACTATACACTTGCATTGCTGACACTTCTGGAAATAACACCTCAAATAAAACCCAAATAAGTCCAAACACGGTCTTCTCAGGAAGCAAAACAATCTGTTAATATCTCACCTCGTTGCCATGAAGTGCTACTCATCACTGCCAGGCAATGAAACTATTTGGCAATTCCTGCTCCGTGCAACCTGCTGTCCTTCCAAAGGGGCTCCGTGCACAACAGCCCAGAGGAAGGAATCCCATGCCTTTTCCCAGCATCCTCTGTCCTTACCTGGCAGTTATAGTCAGTGTCCAGCCCATCCCAGAGGCTCATGAACTGAGCTTTCATCATGGCTGTGGCTTCGTGGTCAGTGCTCGACCGGTTCCGTAGGAAGGAATCTGTGTTGAGGGAGAAAAGCAGTTCACTCCCAACCCAGCTGGATTCCTCCTGGGCTGTTCTCTTACCTTAGAAATGCATTTTTAATAACCACTGCCACCAAACAAAAAGCATTGCTCGGGATGAAGAGCAGTAAAGTGGAACCCCCCCATCTTTTCCATGGCATCACACAAGTGTGGACCCATCACACAAGCTCACCCCAAATCTTTTGCTCCAAACTTTCACCTTCCTGAATTCATGGAAAGCAGCCTCCCCTCCTACTTCTTCAGCCTTATTAAACTGCTGTTCCAGAGCTCTCCTAAACCCACAGTTTATTTTCCATTATGAGCCCTCATGGCAGAAGCACTCAAGTGTGCTCAGTGATGGGTTTCCTTGTAAACCAAAAATAAGCAGCAACTTGTTCTAAATGTAAATCCCTCCACTACCATGAGGAAGAAATACATTATTTTTCCTGATTTGCCATCAGTACTTTAAGTTTATTACTGAACCTTTCTTCAATTCTATTTCTACTACTGAACCTTCCCTCAATTCTATTTCTACTACTGAACCTTCCCTCTTTATAAGGAAAAGATGACAGTGATCAATATATCATTGAACCCACAGTTTCATGTCACTCTGCTACAGGTAATTCCATAAAAAGAGAGATTTTTACCTATTTCATCAATGAAGATGATGGATGGTTGGAGCTTTATAGCCAGGGAGAAGACAGCAGCAGCCAGTTTTTGGGACTCTCCATACCACTTGTCTGTCAGCGTGGAAGGCTGGAGGTTGATAAATCTGCAACCTGCTTCCTTGGCTGTAGCTTTGGCAATCAGGGTTTTGCCACAACCAGGGGGGCCATAGAGAAGGACTCCTGCAAAATTCACAGTGTTAATGACAGACCTGAGCGTGCCCAGGCTTGGATTTCATCCAGGCCTTAAAAGGGAAGAAAGCAAGAGAAGGAAACGCTGTTCCATCAAAGCAAATTCAGAGATATTTAAGATAATCCTTATTAAATTACAGCTGAGAATATCTAAAGACAGGTATAGGGAAACTGGAGGGAGACATTTGGAAAAGGGCTGGTTTACTGTCCCTGCCCATGGCAGGGGGTTGGAATGAGACAATCTTTAAGGTCCCTTCCAGCCCAAACCATTCCGTGATTCCATCCTATGATTCTATTTCTGTGCTTATAAAGGTTCCATAAAAAAAAAAAAACTAAGCCCCCATTTATTTCCTGTCAGCATCTGACAGGCCCTGTTTATAGCCAGTTTCTGCCCTGCTAATAAAACTTAGCACAGAGGGGTGAGAAAAAGAAAAAAAAGAAAAACACCAAAAAACTGAGCCCACTGACATTTTAAACAAATTACCCCCAATTAAACATGACGTCTCGTATTATTTTTAAAGCTGTCACAGTGAAAGGACTCACAGGGGTGTTTTTCTACCACAGCTGTAAAGAAATTACAGAATTACAATTTAAAGAGACAAAATTCAGCCCAAGAAAAGCCTGAAACACAGAGAATTATTAAGGTTTTTTTCCCCTGTTTACGTGACTGAAGACCACAAACATCATCGCTCTGCAGCAGTGGCTTGGTATTAACACACAGCACAAGCCACTAATAAAACTGGGGAGCTGCCCTAGATGGAAAGTCTGCTTTAAAAAAGATAAATAAAAATATCATTTTTTCCCCTTCAGCTTATTAGATCACGGCATTCAAGTAATTTTCCAGACAGCTTCAATCTGTGACTTGAAACAGAAAGTTAGCCTGGAAAAACCAAACCAGCCACAAAAGTGCTGCATTTTCCATCCCTTGGGGCACAGAAGCGAGAGGGTCACAGAGCCAGGTAGGAATTAATAGGTTCAGAAGACAATATTCCAGGGATCAGAGCAGGGAAGATAAACTTTGGTGGTTTGTCCAGTGTTTTAGGTTTAAACTCTGCTTTGCAACAACATCCCACAAATGTGGCTGTAAGGATTCCAGCAGGGCCCAGCTTTCCAGTTTAACTGGAAAGTTGATTCTCCACCTGCCAGTTTCCTCACTGCCCCAACTCCAGAGAAAATCAAGGGATCTCTGGAGTAAAACTGGGAGGTCTGTCTTGTTGGATGATGGGAATTTCCAGGATTAGAGCAGAGAGATGCCTCAAGCTTGGCTCCCATTGAGGGCTCATGTTATGACTTCTGTTTCTACAACAACACAGAAACATTAACCAAGTGTCAAAGCTGCAGAGCAAAGTTATAACTCAACTGCCAAAGGACAGGATGGGGTGCAAGATGAAAAACAAGACAATTTAGGCAGTCAAAAATGCAGGATATATGGATTACATGGGGCTAGAGCAGGGGGACAAGGGGGAACAGCTTCCCACTGCCAGAGGGCAGGGTTAGATGGGATTTGGGAAGGAATTGTTCCCTGGGAGGGTGGGGAGGCCCTGGCACAGGTTGCCCAGAGAAGCTGTGGCTGCCCTGGATCCCTGGGAGTGTCCAAGGCCAGGTTGGACAGGGCTTGGAGCAACCTGGGATAGTGGGAGGTGTCCCTGCCTGTGGCAGGGATGAGATGGGCTTTAAGGTCCTTCCAACCCAAACCATTCCACAGTTCTATGATCAGTGCACCAAAGGGTATCATCAATGACCATTATTAACATGAAACTTCTTCACTAAAGCAGGAGAAGAGGGAAAATCTGAGAGTTTTCCCTGGCATCAGTCCTAATGGTTGCCTTTTGGCCTGGCAACACACTTCCCCTTCCCTTTTTGAGGAACTGCACCTTTTGTTTTTAAATGCCAGCACACAGATCCATAACATTCCTCTCCTACCTTTTGGGGGCTGTAAGAGCCTGGAATTCTCAAACAAATATTTCTTCTTGATGGGCAAAATGACAGTGTCTTTCAGATCTGTAATGACATCATCCAAGCCTGCAATATCACTCCAGGTGACCTAGGAGGGAAAAAAAATATTAGGGATGATCAGCATAGTTCCTGACAAGGGGAAAATATCCTAAATTCCCCAAGGAAAAATACAAAAGCTTCAAAGTAGTGCACGGCCTCAAAAATAAGAGACAAGGGATTAAAAACCTCTGCTCTCAGCGACACAGTTGTAGTTTTAAACCACAGGAACGTTTTCTGTGTGTTTCCACAGATGTGTATATGTGACAACTAATGAAATCCAGAGTCAAAGCCAAGATGTTCCATGTCTGAAGAGCAGAAGGAGCAGGGAAAACTTACATGCATGCTAAGTGGGTCCACGAGATGTGCAGCAATGCTCATTTCATATTCTGTCAGCTTGACATTTTTCACTCCAATTTGCTTCATTAGTTTTTCAGCCTGGGGGGGAAATCAAACACCAGGAGAATCAGAGACAGAACTGGAGTGTTCCCCTCAAAAATTAGCTTTCTAAAATCTTCTGTGTGGCATTGGGAAAGAAAAATCTTTTATGTGTCCCTAAGTCACACCCTAAAAGAGGTTAAATCTTGCTTTAAGTAGAGAGTTCTGCTGCCTCCTAAAGATTTGTTGTCACCTGAGTGAAACCAAGTCAGATGCCTCAGTTCCCTCCAAAGCAGTGTCACCCCAGCCCTCCCAGTCCACAGCCACGACTCAGCCAGTATGACCCAAAAAACAACCCCAATAAACATTAAAACACGGAGTTTGGCTCCCCCAAACCTCCACAGTGCTGCATCAAGGAGAGATTAATGTATTTTTAAGGTAAAAAAAGCTAATTCCCAGAAGCCAGATCAATTTTTTAATACGCAGTCAGTGGGTTTTCCCCAGTTTAAAAGGAAAAGTCATGAGCTGTGCCAACACCCTTGCACAACTTAGTTCCTCTTTCTGCTCAAACTGGCACTAAGTCCAACGTGCTTTTGGGATATTGCAGCTTCTTATATAACAGCTGGCACTGGCACAGATTGGGAAAAGCTGATTTTTAACTCAAAAGTTCGTCAGAAAAGGAAAACCCGCCAAAACAGGCTGAGGTTGCTCAAAAACTGCTCTTTGAACCTGTGAAATTTATGCCAGCCAGAAAGCAAACCAAACAGCTGCCACAATTCCAAAGGAAACATCTCCCTTTTGGTTCTGAACTGCCCATAAAGGTTTTCCCAGGGCATGAATTGTTTTAATTTAACGTAAGGCTTTTCCCTTTTTTTCCTCCCCTTTCCAGGAAGGCAATTTGACTGCTCCCGGAGGTCTCTGCCATTAAGTCGCCTTAAAAGCAGCAGGGAATTAAGTTCTCTGTGCTCAAGGTTTTAAAAAGCAACCAAGAGACTGATGAGGGTGTGATTTAAAGCAACTGCTGCTCAGCAAAGCTGTCAGGAGGAGAAGCAGCACCCGGACTTGCTGAAAACCAGAACCAACATCAGCCTCCAGTTCAGCAGTTTTGCAGTTTTTCCACCACTTCAAGGCAGAAGCTGCAATTTTGGAATTTTTTTGAAGAGACCAGCAGCCTAAATCCTGAGATTTACTAAAAAAGAAACCCCAGTTTTCTCCTGGATTATCCCACGTGCTTTCATCCGTTTTGTCGTCGTCACGGCCAGTCCGCTCTTCCACCAGAACATCCCGACATTCCACAGAAAAGCTGAAGAACGGAGCACTACCTGCTTCTGAGCTTCTACTTTCTGCTTCCTGGTGGGATCGATGGCATCAACCATCCACTTGATGGTGAAGTAGGTGACGGCCCCGAAGATGGTCAGGCGGAAGATCAGCCCCACCACCTCGTTCCGGCTCAGGGGCCGCGAGAAGGCCTCGGCGTGGACCATCCTGCTCCAGGATCTGGAGGGGAGGGAAACCACAGGGAGGGGCAGAAGGAAGGAAAAATCAAAGCTGGGAAAACGTCTGCCTTGTGTTTAAACACTGAGTTATAAAAGCTGTTTGCCAGGGCCTTTGGAGAAGGGCCTGCAGGGACAGGACAAGGGGAAACGGCTTCAAAGTGAAGAGAGGAGGGTTAGATGGGATATTGGGAAGGGATTGTTCCCTGTGAGGGTGGGGAGGCCCTGGCACAGGTTGCCCAGAGAAGCTGTGGCTGCTCCTGGATCCCTGGAAGTGTCCAAGGCCAGGTTGGATGGGGCTTGGAGCAACCTGGGACAGTAGAAGGTGTCCCTGCCCATGGCAGGGGGTGGCATGAGATGATCCTTAACTTCCCTTGCAACCCAAACTATCCTGGGATCCCATTCCCACTAAGACCATCATTTTGGGACTGTTCTTGACCCAAGAATGCTAAATCCTGGAGACAGAGAACTCCATTATTTAACCAGAGAGGTCTTTTCCCTTCACCCAAGTGCCCCATTCTGGAGCGATGGATGACTTGGATTTGATTAAAACGAGGTTAAGAGCTGGAGGCTGCAGCTGGCAGGATATATGGAGTTATTAATATCCATGGAAACCTGAAAATGCTGGATGTGGCACACAGCTATCCAGGGAAAAGCCTGACTGCTGTAGGAGCCAAGCCCAGACAGCACAGCTCCTTCAGTGTAGGGGACGTGCTGCACAGAGGAAGGACTTTTCCTAAAACATTGGAAAATGGCTGGGAAAAACAGGGACCACTTCTTCCTCAGTTGGTTTGGGGGTTCCTCTTGACAATCCCCAATCACTCCTCGTGCACTGCCCCGTTTTCCTGCTGCAAGGAAAAGCCAGTGGCAATTCCTCTGGCAGCTCCTGACATTCCCTGGCCACTCTCCAAAGGGAACTTTGGCAGCCAGGGCAAAGCTGGAGCACCCACAGCCAAGATATTCCTGGATTCCCCCTGCCCAGGGCAAAGCTGGAGCTCCTACAGCCAACATATTCCTGGATCCCCCTCCCTGTGTTATGCTGACCCCAAGGCTCTGCCACACCACTGACTCTGGAATCTGGAATTCCACTGGGACTGGGCTCAGGAGAAGCACCACTTGGTGGACATCAACCCCTGGCTCCTGTATCCCAGCAGGATCACTGGAATCACTGGGTTTGGGGTTTTTTAACACTGCCTTCCCTGTTCAGGCAGTTAAAAATCCAGCCTGTCACTGTGCCCACCTGCCTGGAAACCAAATTAAATTTGCCTGCTTTGGGATTTAAGCAAGTCATCCCGAGCTGGAGGGCTCTGTGTGCCTTCCTCAGCCCGATTCATTAAAATAAAAGGGCTCTGGGCCACTGAACAAGGAAAAATCCTTCCCAAAAAGCCGCGGAAGGAACCTCCTCTTTATGCAACCCGTGCCCTGAGCACCAACCGTGAGGAAAAGCTGTAACAGGAGAGAAAGCGGAGCACAGCCTCGCTGAGCAGAGCCCTAACAACAAACGGGAGGTAAATCCTGCAGGACTCGAGCGTTTATTTCCTCAGCGGGCAGGACGGTTCGCTCCGCTCCGCCCATGCCGGCGCCAAAGGGAAACCAAAAGCACGGCGGCTGTTCCGCTCCCAGGGAATGCTGAGGCACTGCCGGGAACCCCCCGCCTGTGCCGGGCCCGGCGATGCTCCATTGCCGGGATCCCCTCCCGGGCCCGTGTGCATCCCCCACGGTACCTCCGCGGAGGGCCGGACCGGCCCGGGCCGCCGTGACCTTTCCCGCCGCCCGAGCTGACGGCGCGGCGCGGCGCGCTCCCCCGGGCCGGACTCACCGTTTTTGGCCCGGCGGGTCACTCGCGCTGCGGGACCGGGCGGGCACCGGGAGGAAGGAGGAGGAGGAAGGAGGAGGAAGGAGCGGCAGGGAGCAGAAGGAGCCGCCGGCGGCACCGAGGGCCCGGCAGCGGCCGCGGCGGCGTCCCGCGCTTTCCTCCGGCCGTCCGGCGCCCGCGCCCGCACGAACGTTCCGCACGAACGTTCCGCCCCCCGGGTAATCGGGGCTCCAGCCTGGAAACGGCTCGGGATGGGGGACGGATCGACCGGAACGAGCGTCAGCGGAAGGGAAGGGAAGGAGTCACCGCGGCTTCAGCCGCACACACCGCGGGCAGCGGGTTCCAACTGCAGCTGTGATGAGAGCAGTGACTTCAGGCTCTCTGCTCATGTGTGAAACGCGTATAAAATATAACGTCTGTATGACATAACATATACGTAACACATGCTCAGGATAGAGATAGAGACATATACAGGTGTATATATAAGTGTATATATGATTGATGATGATTATGTATATATAAGTGTATGTATAGTATATCTTTTATATATATTTTATATATACATATATATACATAAGCCTAAATAAATATATCTTCATATATTATATGGAAAGTTATCTATATCTATTCATATATATTATGTAGAAATTATATATTTTATATATCTTAAATATATAAAATATATACACACATATACATAAGTAAATATGTATTTTTATATTATATAGAAGATAGTATTATATATTATATAGAAATTTATCTTTTCTATATATATAAGAAATCATAGGTAAGTAATTTGTGTATATTACCATATATTATATATTACTATAAAATATATAGTGTGTATTTGTATTATATAATTAGTATGTAATATAATATTTTTATATATTATTATAAAAAGCTATCTATATTTAGATATATAGAAGTTATATAAAAGTTAATATAAGCATTACTATAGAAAGTTATAGATTTTATATTATTTATATATTGTTAGAATGAGTAATTTGATTATATTACTATATATTCGTATATTACCATATACTATATAGTATATATTATATATTAGTATATACTATATACACATTTTACATACTATACATGTATATGCTACAATATATATAGATTAACACATGCTGTTTTATATATTGTATATATATATATTTCATATTATATATGTTATATATGCTAACATATATATATGAATAACTTTACTGTATATATATACATAGTAACAGAAAAACGTCCAGGAAAAGGTTAAAATAAAAGGATCTCTGTAATCCCTGTAATTAACCCAAAGTTTTGGCAGTTCCCCTGCAACCCTCCTGCTCTTGTGTCCGTGTTTTCCAGGGAACAAGGGGCAGGACAAGAGGAAAGGGCCTGGAGCTGTGCCAGGGCAGGGGCAGGTTGGACAGCAGGAGGAATTTCTTCCTGCAAAGGCTGCTCAGGCATTGGAAGGGGCCTCAAAGCCCATCCCACTCCACAGGGACACCTTCCACTAGCCCAGGTTGCTCCAACCTGTCCTGGAACACTTCCAGGGATGGGCAGCCACAATTTTATCAACTTTGGGTTTGGAGCCTTGGGGAAAAAACAAACAGACAAACAAACATTTTGGGTTTTCCAGTGAAACGTATGGCTGAGTTGGTTGGACTCCATGAGACTGCAGTAGGAAAACTCCTGGGAGAAGGTAAGCTGGAGGCCCTGGGATGCAGCCACTGGAAGGGGGAGCCTGGAACTGGAGGGGAGCTGGGCAGAGCTGCCCCTGGCCAAGGGGATGTGTGTGCCCGTGGCAGCACAAAGTGCCACACAGCAGGAGCTATTTAAGGCCAGTGCTGGCACAGGAATAAGTGGAGACTGACCAGTCCCAAATATATTTAGCCTGAAAACCAGCAGAAGGTTCTGGGAATGGCTTCCCAGTGGGAATAATGGTGGCAAAAGATCTTAAGATGCAACTTGATACGTTTATGAAAGGAATTATATAATACAGCATTTGCAAAGGCTGGAGGCTGCAGCAGCCCAGGAAATCCCTCCACCTTATGTTCTAGTTTATTTTGAGCCCTTAAAGGAAAAGCTAAGCTTTTTTCCCCCTTCTCCCTGTTCCTTTTCCTGCTCCAGCATCTGCTGCCAGACCCCAGCACCTCTTAAAAGTGTTTAAAGATGGAGCAAGTCACTGAAGTAACTATTTATTTATTTATTAATTTTTGGTTATTATTGACATGCATTATTTAGATACAGAGTGTCTTCAGTGAGATGCCTTTCCCTGCCAGCCCAAGAAGCATTTGAGGTGGACTTACAGATCTGGTTTTTTGGGAGAGAGCTGGTTTACATCATGTGCTTTTTATGGAAAAAGGGGTACATGGATTCTCCTCGTCCCCTCAGGACACTCCTTTCCATGGTGTCTCTTTTCTGGTTGTACAAAAAGTGGTTCAATTTTCCTCTTGTTTTTTTTTTCTTTGCAGATTTTTTTATAAAACAACCAACCACCCTTTAAAGATTTCCTTCCAAGGTGTGTTATCCTTGGCTTCCATGGGATATCCCTCATCCCTGCCCAGCAATGGAATGACATGAAGACTGGTTTTGAGGGAGGCAAATTTACACATGGATTGTCCTGGTAATCCCATTTTCCCAAACATATCACGTGCTGAGCTTCCTCCTGATCCCTCAGCAGCTGGGGCAGATGCTGATCTCCAACAGATCCCATTCCTGATGCTTTGCAGAGGTCCTACATGCCAAACTGCCTTCAAATTTTAGTTTTTATTACCTCAGGAACCCAATATCTCACCTCTCTGCACAGCAGAGGGAAAAAATCACACAAAAGATCCCAAAAAAAAGCCCTACCAAACAGTGAGAAAGATGGAAACTGGTCCCAGACTGCAGCCAGTGTTGATATCCAGAAGCTCAGGCTGCACCAGGATTCCTGATGGTCGTTTTCCTGCAGAACATTAACATGGGTAATTCCCAAAGACCTGCAAGAGTTCTCAGCTTAGACTGTGAAGGACCTTGTAGGCTGGGGTTAAAAGGGGTTTAAAGGCTGATTTAGAGATTTATAGACAGTGCTTTCCCCCTGCCAGGATAATTGTCATCCATGTGGGAAGGGGGATGGAGTGGGACAGAAAACTCCATGGAAACAGCCCAGCCAGGAGGGCTGAGCCAGCCGGCACGACCCGGGGGGACTGTCACGTCCCCGTGCCCTTGCTTGGATTGTCCCGAGGACACGAGGAGGAATTTGTTGCTGGAAAAGGTTGTCAGGTATTG